CCCCAAAACCCCAAAACCCCAAAACCCCAAAACCCCAAAACCCCAAAACCCCATGAAATGGTTAATATTTGAAAAATATTTTTAAAATAATGGAGAATTTGACAAGCAGCAACCTTGAAAACTATGACTTCAAGTCTAAGTTGGGAGAAGGTACATATGGAGTCGTCTACAAGGCTCTGGATAAAACTACCGGGGAGTATGTAGCTCTAAAGAAAATTAAATTGGAGAAGGAAGAGGACGGAGTGCCAAGTACTGCTATCCGGGAAATTTCACTTTTGAAAGGTCTCAGTCATCCCAATGTAGTTGAACTCAAAGAAGTTTTATATACTATCGACTGTTTATACCTAGTCTTTGAGTATGTTGAATATGACCTAAAGAAGTACTTAAGGTCTCTCAAAACCCCACCTTCAGCTGCAAGTGTGAAGAAAATGGTATTCCAAATTATTCAAGCAATTGATTACTGACATGCTCATCGAGTAATGCACCGGGATCTCAAACCCCAAAACATTCTTGTCGATGAAGAAGGAAATATCAAGCTGGCTGATTTTGGGCTTGCCAGAGCTTTTGGAATTCCAATTAAAACACTGACTCATGAGGTTGTGACGCTATGGTACAGAGCCCCAGAAATTCTTCTTTGCCAGAGAGCATACTCAACTCCAGTTGATTCCTGGTCCATTGGATGAATATTTGCCGAGCTCGCTCAGAGAAGACCTTTATTCATGGGAGACTCAGAAATTGATCAGATATTCAAGATCTTCAGAGTTCTTGGAACTCCAAATGAAGGTCACTGGCCAGATGCATTGAAGCTAAAAGACTTCAAACCCACTTTTCCTAAATGGAAACCACAACCGTTAACAAGTCATGTGTCAAAGCTTGACACCCTTGGAATGGACTTACTGGCCTCCCTAGTTGCCTTAGATCCTGCCAAAAGAATATCATGCAGGATGGCTTTGCAGCACCCATATTTCGATGATCTTGAGAAGCCGGATTCTATGAGCTAAACTCTGTCTAGGTAAATTGAAGATTTAACGGAATTCAAATTCATATTGAATACTTTATTCAATCAAATCCTCAAGCAAAGGGGTTTTGGGGTTTTGGGGTTTTGGGGTTTTGGGGTTTTGGGG